CGAGGATTTTTCCTTTTGTTCAAGTGATCGTAACTTGCGAAATTTTGGTTTGGTTTGGTTTAAAAGAAAATTTCTGCCTTTATTTATTGCGAATTCGGCCGAACATGGCGAATTCGGCGTTGACAGACGTCATACAAACCTTACATTACTTACAATGGCTGATATTACAAGTTCTTAGGGACAATATCGAAGGGGTTAGCTGATAAATATACTCAGAAATTCTGTTGAGAACATTTTTTGAATCTCGTAAATATTCTTTGAAGCAAAGACCATTAAAACGATATTAAAATCTATGAAATTATGGAAAAATACTCTAAAACTTCGTAAAAAGGTAAAAATGACTCATTAGTCGAAATAGAAAAATGCAAGCAAAACTTATAAGGATGGGATCACTTACGTTTTGTCATAACAGAGAAATGATATTCCATTACTAAACGGCATTGGTTGTAATGGAAAAGAAAAAATACATGTCATTAATATCAGATCTCTTAATGATGACGACGACAAGGTGGCTGTAGCAAAGGCGACGATGGCTCGTATTTACTTGGCTGTCCGGGTGACGCGGCGTCACCCGGACAGCCAAGTAAATACTGACTCCGGCCGCGGAAGCCTACGCTCTCACGATGATGGTAGTTCGGCTGACAGCTGCGATTTGTGATGGAAATCCCGTCTTCAGTGGCTTCAGAGTTGGACGGGGCGGAGGACTAGCTAGCAGTAACATCAAGCATAGAAAAGGCGACGTTGATAACAACGGCAATAGTGGTAGAAGATAATGCGACAGAGGGGATACAGCAAATTGCTGTGGTGGGCAGGCAGGTTACAGGTGCAAAGGTAGAATTGGCAGGGTCGGCGGCGTAGGGCCAGCCAGCGGTGACAGCGTAGCAATGATGACGATGATAATAATGACAAAGGCTATAGAAGCAAAAGCAACCAAGGCCATTCAGCTGACAGCAGCAACTGGAATGCGGCTATCGTGGTAAAGACGACGGCGTTGGTGGAGGATCCGCTAGCACTGGCAACAAGCACAGTAAAGGCGACGATGATAATGGAAATAGCGGTAAAAGCAAGAGCGACAGTAGCAATTTCGCTTTCTGCACCAAACGGCTGCGGTTGGCGTGCTGAAAGGCGCAAAGCGCGGCGTCGCTGATAGTTTCGGGGGCGTAGGGCGAGCCAGAGCTGACAATAAGTACAACAATTATGTCGAAGATGACAATAACGGTGACGACAGAACCAAAAGTGACGAAGGCGATTCAGCTAAGGAGAGCAACGGGTTCGGCGCGCGCGTCTGCAGTGGCGACGTCGGCGTCGGCGAGGGCAGCGCGCGGTCGCTCAGAGCTCGCGGAAGCGTGCCCTTGGGGATTCAAGAAAGCTTCCTGTCAGGCCGGAGGCGACGCGTCTGCGGCGGGCAGGAGCGGGGGCGCGAGCGGGCGAGCGCGGTTATCGTGCAAGCGAGCGGGGCCAACAACAAAAGGCTTTGTGGTGCACCTGCGGGTGGTCTGGGTGCCGGCGCCGCGTGTGGACGGAGGCGCGCTGGCGGGTTTACCTGCCGCCCCGCCCCGCTCTCCCCGTCCCTCCCCGCCCAACAACGCCCCGCTCCGCTAGCCCCGCCGCGCTCCACCCACTCTGCCCCACTCTGCCTCGCCCCGTTCTGCTCCTCTCCGCTCCGCCTCGCCCCGCCCTGCTCCGCTCCGCCACGCTCTGTCCCGCCCCACCAGCTCTGCTTCGTACGTAGCACCGACATTTGAGGAAGACAGCTCTTTGCTTTTGTGACAAGAGCGGGATGAACCCGCTGCAACCCTCGCGTCCTTCCTCGCTCTTTGACAACAATTATGGCTGGTAGCCGCATCGCACAGTAGCGTGGTGTCTTTCACAGAATAACCTTTGAGGTAACTTTTCTTAATGGAGTTAATTTGGGTTTTCATTGGGACATACGTGTGTTAATTGATCCCCTTTTTGGAAACGGTTTAAGACTTTATTATTGGGAACTCTTTTGAATGTATTTAGAGGTTTTTATAAGGAATACTAAAATGAGTGGCATTAATTATTTTTACTATGCTTTTCGGCAAGATGCTATTGTAGAAATGTGTATTATTTATTATTAACATGAATACAAATCATACAGAAAGTTAGCTACTAAGTAGAATCAGTTTACAATAACACAAAGCGAATTGTTAAAATAGAACAAATGAACATAAAACTGAGTTTATTAGCTGTAAGAGCTTTTAGTTTTATTTGCTTGAAGAACAATAGAAGGATGCAAAGGATGTACAATAGTCCAAGTGTTACCAATGATGTTTCTAAAAGAATGTGAGTTGAACTTGTCACAAATGCATGTTGAATTATTGTTTTCCAAAGAAAACGCATAAAAGACTGTTATTAGTGGAATTTATGGTTAAATTCTTATATTTCTTTAAAAATAAGAGGAATAGAGACGTACTTCTCGATAGATACATGCAATTAAACGGTCACCTCGGTGTAGGAATTGTCATTACGAATAATAATATACGAAAACAAATTGTTGAAAATGTGAATTGACATTGCAATGAATTTTCAAAATGTCTAACTGGCAATATATATATATATATATATATATATATATATATATATATATAACAATTTAAGTATATATTTACAAATTTCATTAAACATCTAATTTCACGTATTTAGAAAATACATATTTTATTTGGAGAACAGCCCCTTCTTTAAAAATATTTTGAACATTAGCTTTACTCATATAATTCCTTTCAGTCATTCAAGGAAATGTTTACATACGTTCAGTACTGTCCACGATTACCTTCCACTCGGCGACGCTAATCGTTATTTCAGGCAGCAAAGAGTAGTACAATACCTACAACCGACAATAGAAGAATACACAATAAAACGACCCTTTTATAAAAAATACCCAAATGTAAATGAAATCAAAAAAAACAATGTTTTGAATATATTATCTAATTTCATTGACAAACTCAATGTTCCTTCAGGTGCTGGCAGTGCGAAATAATGTTGGAACATATTTTTTAATGAACTTGCAAAAACTGTTCTATATGTTCAATATTCGTACACAGTGATTTTGGTATTTTGCCATATCTGACCAATAAAATGTAAATATTGTAATGGGATCAATGTAGATGAGAAAATCAGTCCATGTAGTTGACTAGAAATCAAAGAACCTTTTCATTAATTGCATGAATGATTCCGTCTCGAGCAGTCACACGGACATAAACAGTGAAGAAGGACAGAATAACGAAAGAGACTGCGTTTAAGAGAAATACGTATTCCAAGATTGTGAAAATTGCACCCTGATTTATTTGCATTGTAGTATATTTTGTAGTATACGTAATTTTAAAGTAGCTATTCAAAAAATAAGCCACATATTCAACATAGACCAGCCTGTTTAAACTGAAGTTTTTTTCAAATAATAGGTGTCTAACGCATATTTCTCTTCTTTTAGAAAAACGCGATATTTGAAATTCTTTAAAATCTGCGCTTGATTTCTTTTGCATACAAGTTTGCATACTGTCAATCACATGCATTATAGAGTAGCCTTCCAACTAGCAGGTAGCTATGGAACTATCGGGTAGTCTCCGATCTAGAAATGCTTGTTTTCCGCGACTAGGAATATCTTAAAACTTGCCGTTGCTTCGTTTCGTATAGACGACGTTAAGTAGCTAGACCAACAGAAAGACTACCTGCGGGTAGTCGCACACCTAGAAATGTTTGTGTACCGCTGTTAGTAATAACTTAAAATTTGCGGTTGATTCGGTTGTAAGGCAAGCTGTCAAGCATAGAGTAGCCTCCCTACGTGCAGGCAGCCGTCTATCTACCAGACGTTAGCAACGTCTAGACATGTTGGTTTCCCACAAGTTGAAATATAAAATTTAACGTTAATTCGTTTCGCATAACAGTCATCCAGCGAATATACAAAATTGAGACCTCCCTACTTACTGCGTAGTCGCCGAATCAGCATGTTTGTGATCCGCTACTAGGATTACGTTGGTTCATGTTGCATAAAAGCCATCCAGGAGCTACAGCGTAGAGAAGCCTACATCCTGCGAGTAGTCGCCGACTTGGGAATGCTAGTTTGCCACAACTAGGAATATCTAAAATCCTGGAGTAGATTCGTTTTACATAAAAAGCCATTAATAAGGTCTCCATCCTGCGGGTATTCGCCTGACGTATGAATGCTTGAGAATAGAAATTTATTAAAATTTGACGTTGGTTCGTTTCGCTTTAAGCGCATTGATCAACTACAGCAAAGACGGGACTTCCTACCTGTGGGTAGTAACCAAACTAGAACGTTTGTGTCCTGCAAATAGGACCGTCGTAAAATATTCAGCCATAAAATAATCCAGTAGCTACAGCACAGAGAGGCCTCTCTACCCGCGGGTAGTCATAAAACTAGAATATTTGTGCCCCGCGACTAGGATCGTCGTAAAACATTGAGGCATAAAAACCATTCAGTACCTATTTGTACAACACAGAGAGGCCTCGTTGCTGGACAGAACGTTGGTGCCTCGCGACAAAGAAAACACTGGGACATAAAAATCATCCAGCATCAACAGCACAGAGGTGCCTACAAGTGCCTGTTTCCCGCGACTAAGAGTATATAAAAGCATGTCTTTGATTCATTCAAGCATCAAGCAAGCTAGAGCAACATATGAACCTTCCTACTTCCAAGTAGTCTCAAACCTAGAAACTTTGTGTCCCGTGTCTAGGAACGTCATAAAACATTGCGGCATAAACACTATTCAGCAGCACCAGCACAGAGAGGTGTCATTACATGCGGATAGGCGTCGACGTAGAATGCGTTTATGTCCCGTCTCATGGCAAATCTTCGGACATAAAAATCATCCAGCAACTACAGTCCAGAGGGGCAGGTGCCTCTCTAACTGTGGATAGACGCCAACATAGAATGTGTGTGTCCCGCGTCAAGAAAAAACACTGTAACCGTGCGACACAAAAACCTTTCATGTACTAAAGCAAGAGCCGGGCCTCCCTACCTGCGGGTAGTCGCCGAACTTGGTCTGGTAGTCGAAGACGTAGAGGAAGGAGTTGCGGCGCTGCGCCGAGTGCAGGTCTGCCGTGCGCACCGCCGGCGCCACCACCGACGCGTCGCTCAGGGCCTCCAGCGTCTCGTCGCGGATGTTGATGGGGTGCTGCACGGGCCGCTCCCAGTCCGTGTACTCGTTCACGATCGTCGCCAGGATCTCGCTCAGATGCCAGCGGTACGTGTTGCGGACAAACGTGCGCAAGATCTTGGACCTGGAACACAAACAGCAGCAACGGTTTTATATGTGAAAGAACTAGTGGACCCGGAAATGCTTCGCTAGTGTACATATAACATTTCAAATGATACTGGTCACGTGATTATTAATAACGTTTTATGCTCCAGAAAAATTCTAAAAGATGAAAATCTCTCTGATTGTGTGTATATTCTATGTCCTGATTTAGGCATGCTTGTCAAAACGTTCTCTCACAAGTATCCTCTCATCTGTGATTGGTTTGGACATGTTTGTTAAAATGTTCTCTCTCGAGTTTGGGTATGCATTTGTAACGATTGTCTTGGAGATATGTGATTAATTTCAAGTAATAATTCCTGCCGATATTTCACAATCGCAGGGGCAGAATATGCAGCGCTGGTCACGCTTAATACTTTACTGTGCGGCGGGTTGCGTCGATGTTCCGGTCAGGGGCACATGGGACGACGTAAACGCATAAATCAGCACCCCCACATGTCCGATTTAATTCAAACCACTTTTTTAACACTACAATACTAATAAGAACAAATTATTGAAATTTAAACAAAATGTGTTGAGTAGTTTTTATCTATAAGCAGCATACATACGCACATTCACTTTAAATTATATACAGATAAGGCGAAAAAACGCAATATATTTTACTATTAAACTTATAACATTTAAATTTAAAACAGTTTTTGTTAAATGTTTAGAGTTGGGGTCATTGGTCTTCGTCCGAGTGACGATTATGACGGACGCCGTCGATGTCATTCGGGTTCACTAAGAGCATTTCGATTCCAGCACTTGTTGGAACGAATCCGTCATATCGGACGAACCATATAGTACGTCGGACGTCCAAAATTTCAGCGAAAATCGATTTCAGTGTGACGGCCGCATTGGACCTGCACTGGAAAAACGAGGAAGTGACAAGGACAAGAAGTATTTAAATATGACGCGCAAGTGCTTTTGGAAACCTAACATTGCCCGCAAATAGATGTTCTTAATGAGAATTCATCAAGCATTAATTGAAGCAGCGCTTGAATTTAAGTTTACATTTTTCAAACATTTACTAATTGCAGAATAAGAATATGTACCACTAAAATGCTACTGATAGAACATACTAAATTAAAGAGAAATATATAATTACTCTATTAATACATAAACATTATGTAAAAAATGAAATTTATAAGAACACTGTGCGAACTTTACTTGAAAATGTTTTAGAATTTCTTAGGAAATGTGTTTTAATTAAGGCTAAAACATAAAAATTTAGTGCTGTTATTAGGTGAAATAAATTCAAAATATGAATTTCATAATTCAATACAAGTATTAATGAGGACAATTTTTAGGTTCCAAAACTGTTGTATTATATTTTTGTACTTGTATATTTTCTCAAGTACACAAGTACACATACTTGTAAAAGAAAATGAAGTAACGAGACAGGGTTGTCGCAGTAGTTTCTACTTAAGAACTTTTGATATAGAAGAAGCCCGAAAAAAATTCTCGAGTTAAAATATTATTCCTAATAAAAGAAAACCGGATGATTTCCAGAAAGCCTCAGCTCTAACCCAATACACTGTACAGTGAACTACTTTCTACATCTATAAAGATAGAAAATAATATCATATTTTTCTCTATACGCGTGTGAGTTAAGAGTAAAATTCAAATGAGAGCACAGTTCGTATGACAAGAATTAGCACTATTTCATAACAAAATTTTGAAAAAAATAATTGCTGTAAAGTGTATCAAAATAGTTTTTGAATTCTTCACTAATTTAAAACCAATGGAAATGTATTATATTTTGAAAACAACACCAGGTCAGCTCACACAATGTGAGAGTGGAAATTAGGTGTATCCTATTAGTGTATCTGTGAAGTATTCGCCGATTCTGTACGGGCAGTTAGCCGATAGTGAGGTTTTTTATTTTCACAAAACAGCTTGTACTAATGAAAGTATTTACGTGGCATTCAGCATTGATGATGTGTATGTGACATTATCGAGCTCTCGCTATTTTAATTAAATTCGGATTATTGAATAGGCTTAGCTAATGTAAACTTAATCCGTCTCTTTGCCATTCCATTTTAGAGATTACTTTACTGAACGGCTTTTTGTACTGAGAACGTAAGTGAAAAATACGAACGGAACCTGTAGTTAGAAAATACTCATATGATTCCAGAATCATATAGGATTCTTTTTATGATAATTGCCTTAAGATATTATAAATATCTCGAAAATATAATGATAATATATGTTATTTGTGGCTGGATATATTAATTTTCCACAAGGGTTTTTTCCAGCTAAAAGCCGGTTACCCTTTTCGTCCGGGCAGGACGCATGCGAGACAATACACTTAACACCAAAACACTTTGCGGGCTTCTCTGATCTGGGGTTAGCAGAACGCGAGGTCCTCGGCGACAACACTCATGGGACAACCATGTCCAAGGTGGAACTCGAACCCGGAACCTTTGGGACTGAAGTGCAGAGTCAGTATACGCTCTTAGCCACCGCGGCCATCCAGGTCGGCTATTAATTGTTTAATACAATTATTTTTATGTTAATTGTAATGTAACAAAAACATAAGTTTAATTCTAATAATAATAAGAATACAAAAGAAGATAGTTTTCATTTTTTAGATTGATATAACAGAACGATGTTCATATTCATATTCCTGAGGGAATATAATTTTTTGCTTTCGACGTTTGTAGTTGTAACTGAACTCATTCGTTCATTTATCTTTTAGTTTGCTGATCCTCATGGCGTAGAATTGCCGGACTTTTCTACGTTTCAATACGCCAAATAACGAGCAGATCTGCGTCTCTAAAGAGCAGTCGCCTTTGTGGGAGTCGGATAACGGATATAATCTGTAAATATGGGGAGAGTTCTAGTTTGCAAAAGCCTGCAGATTTCCTTTGACCGGGAATATGAGTTCCGATTTGATTCGATCTCCTCTGAGGTCGATCTCGGTTCCTCTCGCTCCCGCCAGAGCGCCCTGTCGCCGCTGTTGACCACGCAAATGGCTTAATAGTATTGTGCGTTGGATCTGATTGCCCCAGCCATCTAACTTATTGCATGTTGTTTAAACAGCGCCATGTTACGGTACGTATATATTCACCATTCCAAAGACGTCGTCTTTGTTAATTGCGAACGCTGGGTATAAACGGCAGTTTATTGTATTGGTATTTTTAAAATTTCATTAGGCTTTGCCGTCGTGTTTTCAATTATAGTTATGCATTTTTGGAATTTTGACGATTTTTATTTATTCATTTTTTGTTGTTACCAATTGCGTGAATGCAATGGAGACATTACCCAGAATTCAATCAATAAAGAATTTTCTGATTACCTCTTTGCTTATTTGCGTTAGTCAACACAATACTCAACATTTACATTTTTATAGTTTGGCTTGTAGATAAAATGGCATTATTGAAAAAAGGAAAGCTTCGTCTCTCACTGTAATAGAATTTTGACGGATGGTTTGCTGTAGTATTAGTACAAATCTGATATTCAAATACTACGTAGTACACATCAGTATTAATATAATATTTCGTTTAATTTATTGTCGTATGAATTCAAGTTGTTGAAAAAAGTTATAGTATTTTTATTTTGGATTGTCGATTCAATCTGATCGTAGATTAAATATTCGTTGGTACCTTAGCTATTTACAATTTAAAAAAATATTTATTGAATTACACTCGGACTGCGGCGAATTATGCGACTAGGTTATTAACCAACTCAACATCTTCAACGACTGACAACAATGGTGTTCGTGACTTTTCATAAAAATTTATAGATTGACTTTTCAGCAACATTTGTCAACACTATTTATTGGTACTGAAATTCTGCTGAGACTAGTTGAATATTTTTTCAATATCAAGTATGAAGAAAATAGAAATATGACATTCACTTGTTGAATAAATTCCGTGGTGGTAGCAGATATCTTGTGGTAATCCATAATATGGTAAAGGAAATAATCTCCACAAAATTTTAATAATTTTTATGAATAATTTTCCAGAGTTAACTTTCGGGAAAGCACTTTTCCCATCATCAGTGGATTTTGCTCAAGCAACGTGGATCTCACATGAATGTTCACAAAAGGTCAAAAATGTGAAAACGGCAAAACATGCTGGTTACAGTTAGGTGGCTGTCATAGGCATTTGTTGATGTTTTAAACACCTTCTTGCTTCCCACTGTTGAAAAACGTCAGGGATGGCGATTGTATCTTTTAACACAATCGAGCACCTGCTCATAGTGAACGGACTGTGGCGGAGTGGTTTCACGACAATAACATATCTGTAATGAACTGGCCTTCACAGAGTCCTAACTTGAATCCTATCGAACACCTTAGGGATGTTTTGGAACGCCTCGTGTCGCTTCGTGTCAGGTCTCACAGACCTACATCAATACCTCTCCTCAGTGCATCACTCCGTGAAGAATGGGCTGCCATTCCCCAAGTAACCTTCCAGCACCTGGTTAAAAGTACGCCTGCGAGAGTGAAAGCTGTCATCAAGGCTATGCGTGGGTCAACACACTATTGAATTCCAGCATTACCGATGGGGGGCGCCACGAACTGGTAAGTCATTTTCAGCCACGTATCCGGATACTTTAGATCACAGTGTAGTTGATGAAGATGTTTTTCAGAAATACGAGAACAACGGTCATTCTTGACGGAAAATAAAGTTTATTTTGACTAGTCCTCATTTTATTTCATACTCTGATCATTCTTGCTTTTAATTCCAATTAGCATTAAAGTAGCTTCAAATTAAATGAGATTTTTTTGCTTAAAATTGTTTATATCTTCTCAAAAATATTATAAATACCGTATAATAAAAATTAAAATATACCACTACAAAAACCAAACTCATTATATAACTACATAAGTGTCCACAAAATGTATACAGAATAACTATGTTAAAATGTAAACTACATAGATACAAAATCAAATATAATAAATAGATTGTCTTATTAAGTAAATCGAATATCAAGCGTTTAGTGAACTCTACGCCTTTTAAGAAATTCACTTAAATTATTAATTGACTCGTTTGATCCCTCTTCAAGGCGCGATGATGGTACGCAAGAGCGCGCTGTGAGCTCTTAACTTGTGTAGCTGTGTCTTGAGGAACGCACCAGGAGTCTGCGAGTCCTTCTGGAGCTTCTCTCAGTCTATCGCCAGAAAGCCCTTGCACACACATACTTCTTGTTCAGCCACGCTAATGACCGTTTCCTAACTCACGCGTCACCTGCTCTTCTGAACCTCCTCGCCCACTCCTCCGGCCTCCCTTCGTTCGTTCCGCTCCTCTCTCCTCTTCCTTCCCTTCTCCGGCCCTCCGGCCCGCCTGGCCGCAAACCCGTGCCCACCCGATCTCCTGTACACTTCCCCATCCACCTATCTCTTTTCGGCCCTTTCAACTACTGTCTCAACTTCCAATCCTTCCAATTACTTATCATTCAGACATTCTAGACGTTCCCCTCTCCCATCCTCTTTCTTTACTCCACGGCCTCCCGACTTTCTGGCCATTCGCCACACCCGACCTTTCATTCTTCTACCTCCGTAACATTTCCGCTCTCAGATTTCTCTCCTACCTTTCCTCCATGTCTCTTGCAGGTCGCCCACCTCCCCCCCCGGCGCTGTCCGTCTTGCCCTTGCACCCACCGTTCTATATTTCCGCTCTCACATTTCTGTCCCACACGTCCTCCGGCACGTTCGCTCACCTACCCTCTTGTCCAAAACTACCCAATCTTCAGGCCGCCCGCACACTCGCCACATTCATCAGCTGACTCTGTCGCCTTTCCAACCACCGTACTTTCTGCTCTCACAATTTCTTATCACTCATTCTCCCACTCTTTTGCTTTCTCACCCACCTTTCCCACCCGCTAATCAACCATCTCTACCTCCTTTCTCTGCTAGTTGGTGAAAGAAGCGTAGCGAAATTTGCGTGGTCAGACGGAAGAGAGCAGCCCTAATGCGCCTGAGTCTCCGCAAACCGTAAATAAGCTTCAATTCAATTCAATTCTTTTCTTTTCTTTCAACTCATCCTACTCCGATCATGTCCCCACCCTACCATTCCCACTCGCCCTGCCCAACCCTCGCGCGTCCTTCACGCCTTTCTGGCGCCACGCCCTACGGGTCACGCTATCCGCGGGCGCGCGTGTCAGCGCGTCGAGTACGCCGGGCTCGCGGAGCGCGCGCCGCCCTGTGCTGTGTGCGCTGTAGAAAGAGCGAACCGCAGCGGCGCCTGACGGAGCGCGGCGCCCACCCGGTGGGCGGGGGGGCGGGCGGGCGGCGGAGCGGGCGCGGGCGGGGCGGGAGGAGTAGGGAGGGAGGGGCAATCGCAGCGAGGGTTGACCGCGGATTGCAGGCGGGGAGAGGCGGGGCAGGGAGGGGAAGGCTGGGAGACCGAGCTGTTCCGTTTGAGAATCGATACGTTGAGTCCACCAGGGACAAAGCGCCGCCTTTTTCACCCGCGCACCACCCCCTCTTCCCCCCAGCCCGCCCACCCCCACCCAATACCTCGCCCGTCCCGGATTTAGAACGCCATTTCAAAGCCGGGCCCCCCGCGCCCTCTGCCTCGCCCCTTCGGCCCCGCTCCCTCCCCTTTCCTCCCGTAACCGCCTCCCCTTGCGCGCCGGCCCGCGCACCTGCAATTGCGTTTGGAATTCCTCGGAAATAAATTGCTTTGCCTGTTTGCACGTCGTTAATTACACAAAGCGTTGCCTCTGACCCTCTCCCCACCCCACCCCCACGGGGGTGCGAGGCCGAGTCGGCGCGCGTCGTAATGCGCAGAAATTCATAGTCGACGGCGGCGGCGCATCACACCCAGTCGTGGACGCGACACTAAGCAGTAATGCTTTGCCCTTTCGGCTCCGCAGGAGGCGGGGCTGTGGGCGGCGTGTGCTTTTGTTCTGCGGTGAACCGGCCGCCGCCGTTTCGCAAACGGAGCCCTCGTCCGCGTTCTGCTGACCTTGTCCCCATCTCTATCTCTGACTCCTGTCGCCAAACCCCGCGGCGCCTCTGCCGCTTTCTCAGAAAGCGCTCGTGCGTGCCCGTGTCTTATACCGCCTTCGCGCTATATCTCTTCTCGTCCTGTCTCCACACACCTTTTTCTTGATTTAGACTGTCTATCTACAGCTACCTCCGAATCTTCTCGACTGTGAATTAGTCCAAACTAATACGCAATATCTACAGCTCATAATAACATATCCCAACAACACCACACGTATAAGCTGAGATGATGAGAGAGAGTATACCTATATATTGCTTCTATATATATATATAAAAATTATATCATAATAATAATAATGAGAGTGAGAGGAGAGTGAGAGTCCTATCTATCTCGAGAGAGTGTGTGAGCTTCGTTTCTTCCTATTTGATGCATATCACACCTCCTCGTATCTAATATATTTATATATATAACTATCTAATAGATTATCTTATAATATCATTAGTAATATCTTAAAAGGCCGTTCTCACATTAGCACGTTACCTTTTTCAATATAATAAAATTAAGAATAATAAATAATAATAATAATAATAATAATAATAATAAGAATAATAATAATAATTAATAATAATAAGAAAACAAATGTTTAACATGTGCCCAAATAATAGAAACCAAAAACCCCCGATGCGTAAAAAACACATGGTTAAAATTCTTGAAGAGTGAATGATTAACTAATAGAGTGTGTAATCAGCTATTCCATCCAGCAAAACAGTAATAGAAAATCACACCTAACTAACTATATGTAAACCCAAGCATCTTAACACATAGAAACGTCGTCAGCGTGCGTGAGTGCGCGTGGCTGTGAGTCATCCGTTGCTGTCTAACGAGTCGTACATAGTATCCTATCTGAGAGGCGTTCCGCGTTTCAAGCTTTCCTCTTGTTGACGCTAATAAAATTACTATCATCTCGCACTACCAACTTATATATATATATATCAACATCACACACTAACACCGTATATATCTTATATATATATCACATATATCATCATACAACTAGCTACTATCTGCGCCATCGACGCTAACGACGCACACAAATACTATCATAATGGTACCTAGCATAAGTTAACTGCCAAGTAGCGAGAGAGTAGTATCTATATATATATATATCTATAACGATATCTACCCTATCTATCAGGCGTGAGTATATATCTATCTACCATATAATGCCGTGAGAGAGTGTGATCGTACTATATACTGCCACTCTATCATGATCCTCTGTGCGACAGCGACAATCATTGAATCACTTATCATGCAGCGACCTAAGCATCATCTTAGTTATAGATACCGCCAACCTGCTCTTGACATATCGAGTTCAGTAACTTTGTAAATCATTTAGTAAAATATTACTAAAATTTTAATTCCAAATTTGATGTTTGGAGCATAATGTTGTAAGCTGGAATAATACTAGCTGTTCATTCAATATGTATGAAGTTCAAATATTGTAATATTACTGTACATTTTACGAATACATATCCCCTACATTTTATAATCTCTCATATCCTATTTTAATGATTCCAGAAGCTTCCCTCAGCATTCTCACTCTACCACATTCTCCATTTTTGTTTCACGATCCTACTTTATGTTATTCCCATGTTCCTTTTACATTCGTGATCATGCTACAATATTCTGGTTTCTGTTCTTTGCTACCATTCTGTTGCCAGCATTAATTCCGCATCCTCCACACTCATCCTATCCGTTCCCTGATACGAATTATCTCTTAGTCTGGACATGCCATTTTTGTGCGTCAATTTTAGTAAAAATTCAGAATGTCATAGAAGACTGGAAAACCTTAATCCTGCTTCATTATTTTTCTTATATATCGCGGCCACCATCTACGTTAATTTTGCCATCTTCTAACCAGCGCGGCACGCCTTTTTAAGGAACCCACTGGATTAAGTGGACGGAGAAAGCCTGAATCTAGCTTTCTTTGTTTTCTTCTCAACCTTCATCATTATCCCCCCACATGCTTGAAACACCAATGTTTTTCTCTATTATTAACTCACAAGACGCACAGGCAATGGTTTGAAAAATTCAAACATTTTAGTAGAAACGGCACATACAAAAAATTCTTTCATTGATACTTCTGGAAATACGTTATTATATCAAATTCATTAAAAAACTGAATGTAAATCATGGAGATTTTTGAATTTTCAGCTGACAAAATAAACATCATGTGCAATGACATTTCATTGAAAAAAAAAAATGAATACCATCATAAGGTAATTCAGGTTCACAGTTGTGGATTGTTCTTACTTCTGAATAGGTACATCGACTTCTGCGAAAAGAGGGGGAACTCTAGAATTTACTTAAAACTGTCCTTTCAGGATATAAGCAAATAATTTTTTGAAGAACGTTTTAAAACGAGATTTTTAAAG